AGAAGATTAAAGGTGTTACAAGAGAGTAACAAACATAAAAAAGAAGAAGGGGAGATAAGGACGATAGATGTTTGATAGGAAAAAAAGAAGCAAACCACACCAGAGCACCCGCCAACCACCCACGATAAACTAGTCTGAGGGTGGCTGGGTGCTGTACTCTAGAAAGACAAAGTTCCATATCCTCAGTACCTAGTTAGAAAATGGTGACATGGTATAGGTTCAATGCCCCGGTCCACACTGTTATATTATTTAAGAGACGGGGCATTAACGTCCCATGGTGCTTCTGTAGCACACCCAGGAACAGATGCAAGCAAAGACTTCAGTATTAAACAGCCTATCAGAATCTGTTGGATTGAGGACCCACCCAGGAAAGTCAAATGTCCTAAGGACAGATGCACAACAAAAGGAGCAGGTCACAATAGACAGAAATGCACTAAGAAGACGCTGAATCCTTCTGCTATATTGGGAGTATAATTGACAGAGAGGGAGGAATAGGTGTTGAAATAAAGTCCCGCATTGGAAAAGCACAGGCTGCTTTCATATCTTTGCAAGAATAGGATTTGGAAGACCGGAGATATCTCACTTCGAACAAAGCGGGGGATTTTCAATTCAAATGCGAAGTCAGTCATGTTGTATGGGTGTGAGACATGGAACTTGCATAAAGAGGATCCAGGTGGGTTTTTTGGAACAAATGTCTAAGAAAGTTGCTGAGGATCAGATGAACAGACAGCGTCACCAACGAGGAAGTGTTAAGGAAAACAAGACAGATCCAGTCACAGATGAGGTAAGAAGAAGGCGATGGCGATGGATTGGACATACTCTCAGGAAATCAAGCACCTGCATAACAAAGAAAGTGTTGGATTGGAATCCACAGGGTAAAAGATCAAGGGGAAGACCGCATGGAACCTGGAGAAAAATCACAGAAACTGATGTACAAAAATAGGGAGGCATGGAATAACATCAAGAGGCTAGCCCAGGAAAGAGAAAGGTGGAAAGTGTTTGCCCGTGGTCTATACCCTGGTGCAGGGAGAGAAAGGCAATGATGATGATGATGATGACCTTAACGTCCATCTCCGAAAGGACCGAGCCTAATGGGAAATTCGTCTAAAGTGCATTTTCAAAGGAGACAACGTCGAACCAAGTTGAGGCTCGAACCCCCGATCCCGCAATCTCCCGAGAAATTTGACGTAAAAAACGTTGAGTTTCACACATGTCAAGCTTTTTTCGAATGCAGCTCTTCTGAATACTGTATCGTGATTACGGCCCCGAATAATCTTACGATTTTGATAGAGGAGCAGATAAAATATTTGGTCTCTGACCTCATGGTCTAGGTACATATAACTCAAAATGGCCAAAAACGCCAGATAGAACTTTGTAATTCTAAAGTACCGCATTGGTAAGTTGGGATTTTGTTTTTGTTTTTAATTATTTTTATTTG